TGGGAAAGCATTTCTCGATTTCTAGTTATCATAATTTGAAATTTAAATTGTATTTCTTTTTTGAGACAACAGAAAATTAATTTAAAAATAAAATAAAATAAAATCTTATACTCTTTTAATGGATTTTAATTTTCTTTATTTCACATGTGATTGAATCCAATTTCAAACTTGTTCTGATATTTCGAGTTGAACCGGTGAATGAATAGAAATAAAGATTTCAAAGTCTTAGGCCCATTAAACCACTTGCTAACGGGTCAACAGTCAAAGGTCCTATCTGGTGCAGATTATTGACTGAAAAGAATGGATTTTCCTAACGTTGTGGTCGTAATTTTTGACTAACTCTTTCTTTGGTGGGACCCGCAGTTGGACTCAACGGTAAGAAAATGACTGAAAATCCATTAAAAAATCACAGTCAGACAATGCCAATTTGATACTAAGCCCCTATTTGGCTCTCATTTTCTAAAAATGAAAATGAGGAGAATAGTATTTTTTGAAAAATGAGTGGTTGAAAAAGAAGGAAAAATTTTCGATTTACGTGTAATATTATTTTATGAAAAATTGTGTGGTTGAAAATGGGAGAGAGAAAAATGAAATGTAATATAATTGAATTTAATAGGGGCCAAACGAATAATAATTTTGCAGAAGAGAATTTTAATATTATTATCCATTTCATTACTCTATTACTTACAAATAATTGACATGACATTGGCCTTTGATAAGGATACCGTTGGGTCACCTTAAAGTTAAGGATTTGCAATTTCTAACGGTCCTCATTGACAAAAAATACAGCTTATACAAATTTTCTAATCTTAAAACAAATGATTAGTTGACATTTGGAGCAGTCTGATTGGGCATTCAAGAAACTTGTGATAAGTACAATCTAATTAACAAAATTGGGTCATCCAGAAACTCAACTGGCTTCCAATTTTCCATCTTTGTTTGTTTATAATGTGGATTATTCTTCGTAGCCCCTCACCATCAGGGACGATGTGGCGTTCCTTTATTGGCCTGGTATCCTACCCATATGGCAGAGTCCATTATTCTCATGGAAAATGTTGAATCCCGGGTTCAGTCGATTTTGATGGCGGGCCTCCAAGTACAAAAGATCAACGGCCGAGGTGGAAACACCTCGGCCCTGGATTGGAGCCCGGGATTTAAACCGGGCTCGGTATCATGATTGTTATTCTCATAATGTATTATATAAATATTTTAATGAAAAATTGCATCATTGGTACTCAACCCATTGTTTTGGAAGCAAGTTTAGCCCAATCTTTAGAAATGAACAAGTTGGTCCCTGACCTATTAGAAAAGAACAAAATTAGCACTTGTTTGACCCCATTATTCCACATTATTCTGAGGCGAATAATATTTTTTTGGAGATTGCGTGGTTAAAAAAGAAGAATAGATTTTTGGGTTTACATTTTAATTATTTTATTGGTAGATGTGTGGTTGATAAGAAGACAGAAAAAAATAAATTATAATTTAGTGAGGAATAATGGAGGCTAAAAGGAGCTTAGCCAACTTTATTTTAAATAAATAAATAAAATACAAATAGAAGCTTTTATTTTCATAATGCTAATACCCATACATTTTCAACTCAACATGAAAAGTTGGAGGGATTGAATGAATGGATAAAAGTCTACCAATAAACATTGAACTGTCACATTATAACACCACTACAACACAATATAGATGACTTTGGATTCCTAATCTTTCATCCCTTCTGCTCTTGAAATCGACACTCTTCTTTTCAAGTCCTCCACATCTCGTTAAATTGTCACGAGACACTCATGAAAATATGGTTCATTTCAAATTTTTGTTCACGGGATTAAGTTGTGAGGCAAAATTTATCTTTATAAAATTAGACACATAAGGCCCATGTAAAGATTTAACCAATATTGAGACAAAAAAAAAAAAATACAATGTGGAGGATAAAGATGCTATGTTTTAAAGGTTGGGGACTAACTAGCTACTTGAGCAATAGGTTTGGGACAAGTGGTGCAATTTTATCCTTCAATTAATTAGGAGCTACCCTAATGTATCAATCTTATCATATCGACTCAATAACTTTGATATCCAACTCCGAAGGAGTTCTCACGAAACTGCTTTATCATTTATACAGCTAATTATTACGTGAAGCCATGCCTGTAGTTCTCATCTTATTCCTTATATACTTCAAATTTAACTTGTTTATTTTGTGTAATCTATTCAAATTGTGCACATGGCTAATTCATTTGCAGAAGAGTGTGATTATCTGTTCAAGGCTGTTCTTCTTGGGGATTCAGCAGTTGGGAAGTTCAATCTTCTTTCAAGATTTGCTAGAAATGAATTCATTTAGATTTCAAGCCAACCATTGGTGTCGAGTTCGCTTATCGAAATATTCATATGGGGGATAAGTTCATCAAGGCTCAGGTTTGGGATACTGCTGGCCAAGAAAGGTATATATCTTCCTCTTTCCTCTTCTATTCACTTACATTTTTCACCGCAACAACATAGTCGAGTCTTATTCTTGATAAATTTATGATCCTATTAGATTCGTTGCTATATATAGTGCAATTTGCCCGTGTTTTACTGAAAATTAGTGATGATTTCTTCATTCCTGAGGAATTCATCTGCAAAAGGAGTTTTAAGGGTCATTTCTTGATATATTCAATGGTTTTAAACTCAATTTCAAGTTCAAAGTTATATTTTAGATTGATGAGGAACAGGGCTTTCATATAAATGTTGAAAAATGGGTCATGTGTCGCCTGATTTTAGGTATTCGAATCCACCCATACAGTAAGTGCAGCAAATTATGCTATTCTTTGTTAAGAAAAAAATAACAGAGAAATTAATGGGGTTGAAACACTTACCGTCCTTAATGCAAAACCGTTATCTTGTGCAGATTTAAAGCCAGTACAAGTTCATACTACCGTGGAGCTCTAGGCGCCTTACTAGTCTATGACATAACTAGAACTTGAAGGGCAACGTTCGAAAACTTGAATAAATGGTTGCACGAGGTACGTGAATTCGGTAACCCCGACAGGGATATTGTTCTTTTGGGCAACAAATCTGATTTGAGTCATTAGAGAAGTTAATGTAGAAGAGGGACAATGCTTGGCTCAGCAGGAAAATCTGTTCTTTATGGAGACATCTGCTAGAGAAAATGTGAATGTGGAAGAGGCATTTCTTCAAATGGTTGGTAGAATATATGAAATTACCACTCAAAAGAGTCTTCAAAATAACACAAAGGAAGCAACAAATCCATCACTTCAAGGGAAAATGTTCATTTATATTGATGAAGTATCAGTCACTAAACAAACTAGTAATTGTTGTTCATATCGACTAATCCACATTTGATTGTTGATTATTATTTGATTTTTTGACACATGTATAGAATGGAATATGTATTCAGATTCATGTTATAAATTTGACGAAATTTTACGTTGATCGTGAACTTACTACAGTCTTCTTCCTTGTCTGTCCAAATGTACTGTCATTCCCACTATCGAGTCGAGACAAACTCAAGTTTTGAACAAAACAAATCTGATTATGCATAAAAAAATAAATAAATCGGTTTAATTTATCAAAACGTCTCTTTTTTACGAATTAATACTCTAGTGGACATAAAACTAACAATATGATATATAATGAATCAACAAAATTTTAACCCACCATGCTGTATGGTAGTAATTAAAGTTAAAGGTAACATCGTATTTTTAGTAAAATTTTGACTCGAATGGTTAGTATAAGTTAAGGTCGTCTCGAATGGGGCAAAAAAACCTGTCCCGAACGGGTTGGTGGGACGGGGGGCAGGAGCAAACCCGCCCCATGAAGATAAAAAAAAGAAAAGAAAAAGAATAAAAATAATTTTATTTCTAGATAATTTACCCTCTAAAGACCCATTTTAAATTTGTATTTTATTTTTTAATTATAACATAACTCGAAATTTTGAAAATGTAAAAAAAATTAAACGGGGCAACGAACGTGGCAAAAAGTTGCCCCGCCCCGTCTGGAATTTTGGTGAGCGCTCCGAACCCACCCCATTGTCATCTCTAGGTAAAATGGTCTATTAGATTTAGAGGACGTGAATACTCATTTTTAAAAATTAGGATGCAATCGTGAACGTTTGCTACTATTTTTTTATCGTTGTTAAAGAGCAAAGAATAGCACGACAAACTCAAAATACGTTAGTTTGGTAAGATGTATTGGAATTATGGACGAATGGAAACAATGTTTTAAAGTTTGGTGATGGTTTCGAAACAATTGAAAATTCAGGTGCCAAACAGAAAGACAATGTAAAGTTTGGTATCATTTAGAGTTTAGTCCTTGGATTTTTCTATTCGAACTATGAACTTTCACCTAATATCAAGACAGTAGAACGCAACGATTTTTTGTTTTGACTTCGTATGTTGATGTTACAAGATTGATCTTTCATAAAATACAATAGGCTTTATGAAAGATTTTGTCGATTAGTATGACTGTGGACTTCCATTTTCTCTCACTATTTAGCAAGTTTAAAGTTGTGTTTGGATAAAATTATAACTTTGTGATAAAAATGAGAGGCGAATAACTGAACAATAACTATAAAAATATTGAAACGTAAATTATAAGTTAAAAATAGACCAAAAAATAGGAAAAAGCTTTTATAGGGGTGTTTGAGAGCCATTTTTATGTAAAAATGCATTTTAAAATAATAACTTGATGGGAAGTGTGTGGTTGAAAAATAAGGAAATTTTTTTGATTTATGTGTAATATTATTTTAATAAAGAATGTATGGTTGAAAAGAAGAGAGAGAAAAATGTAATTTGAAAAAACTGGGTACCAAAACGGGGGCTATAGTAGCAATTAAATCAAGCACTTCCAGAATTTATTGATGCTGCCCACTTGGAATTACTAAAAAAATGGAAAAAGTCCGGACTATAGTGCATAATTGGGAGTTCACATTATTAAGGATTCAGACATAATCATAGACGTATTGTCTGAATCAACATTCAAAAGTGTAAAATATCGAAAACATTTATTTGTACAAATTTTATTTATATAGTTTTACAAACTGAGCATCAAAATGTTGTCGTTGTAAACCAAATTCGTCTTACAAATAGCATGATTCCAAACCATAAGACCCGAAAGGCCTCCTCCACAGCACACCCAAAATATCCGCAGACCCATACGCAAACGCGAAAGTTGTAAGAGAGAGAGAGAGAAGCGGGCAATGTTGAGAGTGAGTGGAAGAGAATACAGAACCAAATCGAAAGTATAGCAGAAAAATAGGAAAGAAAAGTTTGGTCGGTTATGAGTTATATGGGGGGTGGGAATTTCGTGGACGGATTTCGTCGCTTGTTTAAACGTCGTTCATCAACACTTACTACTAGTAATTCAGTTATTGATCATAATGACAAAGATCGTTTGACAAGTTTACACGAAAAAGAAGAGGGCCTTGTGATTACTGAAGACTTCGATTTTTCTGGGCTCAAGCCTATCAAAGTCCCTTTTCCTGTTACCACTTCATCTGCTTCCATGGATCCACACAAAAAGGTATTCTTTTTTCTGGGATCTTTTATTTAACCGTCGTGTTCTTCGTTTTTGACAGGCATTGGTATAGATCTCTTTTTATCTTAGAAGTTCTATTGTTGATTCTTGTTATTTTTTATGCTATAGCTATCAGCATAGTAGATCTATGAACTTTGAAGTACATGTTTTTTCTTGGGATCTTTCCATTTTGAGTCATGGAATAATTGTGATTTTCGAAACATTTGAAATATTGGCTGATATTTCGACCGTAGGAGGAAACACGGAGAAAGAAAGAAGTTATTGAAGGATTATGGTTAATCAGTTGGAAATTTTATTGAATGTGGACTGAAAATTGCTGCATTTACATGATAAGTCATTAACATATTGAATATATGGAGTGACATTCATTTATGTAATAAAAGAAAGCACTAATATGGCATGTTTTAAGGTTTTTTCATCCATAATGTCCCTTGAAGAGGGCTCAAGAGATGTAATAACTTTTGCTGTCATAATGATGTAAAAGATGTGAAAAAGATGCTGCATCTTTCCTTTTATCTCTTGAAGATAAGAATGGAAAAAGAATTAGCATCCATTCTCTCCCTCGAAATGGACATATTGAATTTTCTTTTTTAGCTAGAAAGGAAAAATTCCTTTACTTTATATACGTGCGTAATTGCGTAGTTAATAGTCAGCAGTTCCTAATGGGGTAATTATTTTACAGAGTTCACTAGAAAAGGAATTTTTTACAGAGTATGGGGAGGCAAATAGATATGAGATTCAAGAAGTTGTAGGCAAGGGGAGTTACGGTGTTGTGGGGTCAGCAGTTGATACTCATAGTGGAGAAAGGGTCGCAATCAAGAAGATTAATGATGTCTTTGAGCATGTCTCTGATGCCACACGAATTCTTAGAGAAATCAAACTCCTTCGGCTTCTTCACCACCCCGATATTGTGCAAATAAAGCATATAATGCTTCCCCCTTCTCGAAGAGAATTCAGAGATATCTATGTCATTTTTGAATTGATGGAATCTGACCTTCATCAAGTAATTAAGGCTAACGATGATCTATCACCTGAGCATTATCAATTTTTCCTCTACCAGCTTCTACGTGGATTAAAATATATTCACGCAGGTTCATTGTTCTACACAATATAAAATTGCTCCTTTATTATTCTTTTCATGCCTCCCAAGGGAATTTTTTCTGCTTATATTTCTCATATCTTTTTCCTTTTTCTTGTAGCTAATGTATTTCACCGGGATTTGAAGCCCAAAAACATACTTGCTAATGCCGACTGTAAGTTGAAGATTTGTGATTTTGGTCTAGCCCGTGTGTCATTTAATGATGTCCCATCAGCAATTTTTTGGACTGTAAGTAGGAGTTTTCACAAAGCTTTTGAATTTTCTTTTATCTTTTCCCTTCCGGAAGTCATCTTAACCACTTCCCAATGTTTTATATTCTATTCACTTTATTTTGATTAATAATAGGACTATGTTGCAACTCGATGGTATCGTGCACCCGAGCTATGTGGCTCCTTTTTCTCTAAAGTAAGCTGATCTCCCAACAATATTTTTGTTTATTCAAATTTCAGTTTCTAAATATTGTACTTACCTTGGTAATTTTATTTGTCTATACTACCTTGTAAATGCAAAAATAGACATGTTTGAATAATGCCAATCAAAAGTTTTTATAATTGCTTCCACTACTTTTCACTTTGTTTTCTCTAAACAAACTATCATATATTGATTAATAGTTTCTTTAGTTCATTTGAATTGGATATATTTTGTCAAACTTTTTATTTGTTGACTAACAATTTGTTTGTCGATACTTTCTTACCTTTTAAATTTACAACTTCTTTGAACTCATCTGGCTGTTTAGTCTTAGTGGAGTGATCAAATATTCCTTTGGCTCTTGTAATTTTATGAGTCACTTCAATCCAAAAATGCCTTATATATGTTTTCTTACGTCTATATAAACAAATGAGGGTATAATAAATGGGAGAATATGATAAAAGATTGCATGACGAACAAAGATTCTGAGTCCCTAAGCTGCATTTAAGGTTAGCAGAAAAAACATTATAGAATTTTTACAAATATATGCACATATGATTTGACAATCAAATAAGATTTCTTGCCAGAGCATTGGAAAACAAATTCCAAACAAGAACCTAGCTAGTTAACTAGTGGAATTTAGGTAACTAAAATCACTCTGAAAATATTATTATTTTTATTTTTTTATTACTGTGCATGGAAGAAGTTTTGAAGGAGAGTGATGTTTTCAGGTAATATGCTCAATTCATTATTTAAAATAATGCATGCAATTTTATTATTTTCAGTATACTCCTGCTATCGATATTTGGAGCATTGGATGCATATTTGCGGAGATGCTTACTGGAAAACCGTTGTTTCCTGGTAAAAATGTGGTGCACCAGTTAGATATAATGACGGATTTGCTTGGTACTCCTCCCCCTGAATCAATTGCAAGGGTTAGTTACCCCCTTCTGCTGTCTTCCCCATTTTATATTTTCTATAGATACGAAGTCCTATTGCATCTGAATGCTGCTGCATTATTCTAGTTAATAGCACTTCAAGAAGATTTGAGTTTTCTGTGTTCCTTTCTGACAAGTGACAAATATTGTTTATCATTAAAATTGCAGATCAGAAATGAAAAGGCGAGAAGATATCTCAGCAATATGCGGAAAAAACAGCCTGTTCCATTCACGCAGAAATTCCCGAATGTCGATCCTTTGGCTCTTCGCTTGCTGGAACGCCTGCTTGCATTTGATCCTAAAGATAGACCGTCTGCTGAAGAGGTGACATATAATGACCAAGATTTGTTATTTTGTTTTATATTTAAGTTTACCATAATTTGGAACTAAATTTTTGGAATTCGATTAATAACTCCAGCTCTGTTACCATTTCAATTTTTGTTTCTGCAGGCATTGGCTGATCCATACTTTCATGGATTAGCGAATGTGGACCGTGAGCCAGCCAGTCAACCAATATCAAAGCTTGAGTTTGAGTTTGAGAAGAAAAAATTGTCAAAAGATGATGTTAGAGAGTTGATTTATCGAGAGGTAGGTCTTTCGGCATTAATATATATAATTTTTTTTTTTCTTTCACTGATTGGTTCATTTACTAATTCAAAATATTTTTTTCTTAATCAAACAGATTTTAGAGTATCACCCTCAGATGCTTGAGGAGTATCTTCGGGATGGAGATCAGACAAGTGGCTTTATGTACCCAAGGTCAGCATCAGTGGTACTTGATGATTTTGTTTGACAAAAAACTATTTAACTGCTTTATATTTTTAATGGCGTTTGAAGGTGATATAAATTTAATAGACATACATTATTTCTTCCATATTTTTTCAAATTCCTAAGTATGTAAGCTTTCGGTAGAGGATTATTTTCTTTATAATTTAACCTCTGCATGGCTGTAACTTATCTTTGTACAATGCAGAAATTTTGTTCGGCTCATTATTTAGCCCCTGTTTGGTGGGGATTAAAATCAGATGTTTTAGTAAATTTTGCTAAAACTTGAATGAAATGTGTAGTTGAAAAGTTGTGGGTCTCATGAAATATGTGGTTAAAATTAATTGTTGACTTTGACTTATATTAAAATTTAGATTTAGATCCCTACCAAGTTGGGGCATAGTGAGATTTGTGATATATTAGCTGATTTTATTCTATTTTTCTTAGTGGCGTTGATCGATTCAAGCGACAGTTTGCACATCTTGAGGAGCATCATGCTAAAGGTGGAAGATACACTGCACTCCAAAGGCAGCATGCTTCATTGCCTAGGTACAAAGTTGTTAAGGATTTATTTTCTCAAAGGATTTATTGGGTGACTGTTGAGTGTGCTATAAAATCAAATTATTGTCTGCTCAAATGTTTTATAATAAAAGTTTATTACATATTCTTGTATTGACAAGTTACCACCCATAGTTAATTAAAGGCTATTATTCCTTGACCGCTAGGGCTCGGTGGGCCGGGCTTTGATGTCAGTCCCGGCAGTTGACATGTTGGGCCTGAATTTTTTTTTTTTTAAATAAAAAAAAAAAATTTTGTTTTTAAAGAAGAGATAAAAAAATGCTGCCTTAATCAAGGCAGAATACAATGGCCATTCTGCTACGGAGATCATCATTTTGGTAAAGGTTATAGATAATCAAATTTATCATTCACCAGTCCAATGATTTCTTGGTTCTATATTTGCATTGGTGAGTAAACATGGATGTTCTTAAATTCTATTACTTCAAAACTTCTAAATGTTAGGATATAGGTCATTTAATTCACTTGTCGGGTTTGTGGTGCACTCCCAAATAATACACTGGGGCCATTTTGGTTCAAATTTGTACTAGTGTTGGACATTTAGATGAATAATGTATCTAAGTTGGGAAAAACACCTGGGTACTGGTGTAACGGCCACCCATTTATGTGGAAAGTCTAGGAATCGCGTGCATTCTTGTTTTGTACTAAGTCACTACTCGGGAGCCTATAACACATCTCATGGTTTAAAAAAGACATACTTCATACATATGATGCATATAGCATATGAATGGAAAACACTTCAAACCTGGAAAGTTTGTCACTATTTGGATGGTCTTGTTAATATTTTACCTTCTGCTGTACCTTCAGAGAACGAGTCCCTGTGGTCAAGGATGAAACAGTTGTTCAAGATAATGATTTTGAAAAACGAACTTCAGCATCTGTTGCTTCAACCCTTCAAAGTCCTCCCAACAAAGCTGAAGGAACAGATAATTCAAATGCAAATGCACAAAATGGAACATGTTCTGCTCGTAGCTTGTTGAAGAGTGCTAGTATCAGTGCATCTAAATGTATTGGTGTTAAAGGAACAAACAATGCAGAGGTAATTTTCTAGCTTGTCCCATCCTTTTTACTCAGCATTAAAGATTGCTCAGCATTAAAGATTGAATGTCTACTCATTTATGTTGATAGTTGTGTCATTGCTTCTTCTTTCGGGTGAATAGTAAGTCGAGACATACTAAATCTGTCTTATGATTGATGAACTCGTTCGTTTTTGACAGGAAGAATCAATTGCAGAGCACAGTGAAGAGGTTGATGGGTTGACCGAGAATATTACTCTTCTCCATACTTAATTTTAGAGCTCGATTTTGTCTTCAAATATATCGTTTGGCTTAGACGCAGATATATCATTCCGTTGTTCCATATATCGACTTTGAAAGTATATCAGGTAGAAGTTTTAGAAAACTCGACTATCCGAAAAATAGTGTTATGCCTCCCTCCATATCTCCCTTCACCCTAGTGTTGGGGTGTCATGCTGGTGATAGTGGCTTGTATTATTGACAATGGCATAATTATTAATTTCAACAATATGTGACATGGAATATTAGTTGCACGACCTACAAACTTGAAGTACTTCGTCCCAAAAGGCAGTTATATTTTAGTAGAGTATGAATTAAAAAATAATAAGGTATTAAAAGTGTAAATATACCCGACATAGAGGATTATTAGTAAATTTCCCAAAGGATAAAGCTTATTTGCAAATAATTGAAAAAAAAAAAAAAATCAAATGGAGACGCAGCCAAATTAAAAAGGGATCGACAGATCAACTTAAATCATTTTTTCGTAACTGAATGATCATACTTAACAAAAATTCCCAAAGCCACTACTTCCACTAGTTGAAAATTTTTGTTCTCAGCCTCCAATCTTTGATTTGAATGCATTGATCAGGAACTATTTACTCACAAATACGTGAATCATTCCAAATAAAATAAGGACAACCACCTATTTTTTGGAAAACGAAATATTTACTCGTGACTTGTGATACAAACAAAATGGATCTGAAGACGCAATCATATGTAGAGATGGCAAAATAATTTGCCCCGCGCCAAACCGTATTGAGAGGTACGTACGACATTCAAGCCATGCATATGCATATATTCAAGAAGTTCAAGATATTATTTAGTTAGCTCTCCTAAAATTGTGTTGATCCGCTTCTGTTGTTTCAGTTTTCAGTAAAATTCCTGCAATATTTAGGTGGAGTTGGTAAGAAAATGGTCTGAGAAGGTGGTAAAGCTGGTGGAAAAGGAGGTGAGGGAGGAAAAGGCGGCGTAGGTGGAGTTGGTGCCGGTAAGGGAGGAGGCGGAGGTTCTGGTTCAGCAGGTGGGGGTGGTTCTGCGAAAGGAAGTGATGGCATTGGCGCTAGTTCAGGTATGATGAAAGCACCTGGTGGTGGAGGAGCTACTATTTCCAGGAATTTGAAAGCAATCCTCAAAGATATTTTGCTGAAGCCTGGATTGCCTGCTGGAGAGAAGGCTGGAAAATGAGCTTATATAAAATGTGCGTGTATTAAAAAAAGAAAAGAAAAAAGGGGACAAGCCATCGCCCCACCTTGGGGCGGGCTGCCATCTCTAATCATGTGAGGCGATGCTTGTACTTATCATTGAGCATGCAATAAATCTTCTTTGTGAATTCACACATATACATGATGTTTTCAATTCTATAGTTAAATCACGTATATATATGTCACGTTGTACGCAAAGATTAAGAAAATGATTAAAAGAGAAAAAGTAGTTGCTATAAGGATAAATTTGTCGAAACAGAGAGAAAGAAAGACACGTGTTCCCTTTTTGGCCTTAAGATGGCATTTTAACTTATAGATTGATGGTTTTCGTGTGGAGATCCAAAATCACAGCTTTGTATAGGTTGGATCCAAATGTTTGGTTTTTAAGGTTGGAGATATCTTGTCCAAAGGTGAGGGACCTCAAAGTATAATTTTAAAGAGAAAAAGTAGTTGCTATAAGGATAAATTTGTCGAAACAGAGAGAAAGAAAGACACGTGTTCCCTTTTTGGCCTTAAGATGGCATTTTAACTTATAGATTGATGGTTTTCGTGTGGAGATCCAAAATCACAGCTTTGTATAGGTTGGATCCAAATGTTTGGTTTTTAAGGTTGGAGATATCTTGTCCAAAGGTGAGGGACCTCAAAGTATAATTTTTCCAATATTTTAAAACCTGCGATGAAGAAAGCGTAAACTGGAAATCTGAACATAGGAACTTTCCAATTCTACTGACACTCATTTTCAATTCCAAATAAAATGGCACAGCTAGCAGAAACATATGCTTGCGCCCCCTCGACGGAACGGGGCCGGGGGATCCTAATCTCGGGCGACCCGAAATCCAATTCCATCCTCTATTGCAACGGCCGATCCGTAATTATCCGGTACCTGGACCGGCCATTGGAAGTCAAGGTGTACGGCGAGCACGCGTACCCTGCAACCGTCGCCCGCTACTCTCCGAACGGCGAGTGGATTGCTTCGGCTGACGTGTCTGGTATTGTCCGGATCTGGGGGACCCACAATGATTTTGTATTGAGGAAGGAGTTCCGGGTCCTCTCGGGTCGGATCGATGATCTTCAGTGGTCACCCGATGGACAGCGCATTGTTGCCTCAGGTGATGGCAGGGGCAAGTCACTGGTTCGCGCTTTCATGTAAGCTTATATGTTTTTGAACAATGCATACACATATTATATATACTGTCTCGCGTATGAATATATGTGGTATATTTCTAGTTAAATTCATTAATTTTTGTTTTCTTGGGGACTTTTTGTTTTAAAATTGCACCTGACTTGAGATTTTATTGCCTTAACATATGGCTAGAAATGTGGAAATAATTGAATTTGAGGGAGTGTGTTGTGACTGGATATTTTCCCCCTTTTTCAAGACTTTAAGTTGTCTAATTTATTTATTTATTCATATCGTGGGAGATGTTTTTCAAAAGTATGCTTCTTTAAGATGTAAGTTTGCACAAATACGAAGTAAATTACAATTGAAGAGCATTTCGGTTAATCTGTAAACTAATACAAAATAAAGAATACAGTATTCATTTTGATCAATTCTGATGTTTTGATTTACTTCCTTTACTTTTATATGCCAACTGCCAAGGCCAAAAAATTGATCAGTTGATTATTAAATCATTAATGTGTACATAGAATAAACAAAAATAAACCATTTCTTTGTTATCTGAGATCTTTCATAATATTTATTTTATCTGATTTGCTTCCTCTAATTTATGGACAGCCTATGATCTTTTATCTGGCTGTGATTGTTAAGCTTATGCATTTTGATTTTACTAATTTGTTTAAGATATTCTGATCTAACTCATACTTGCTATCCCTCTTTCGGTCTTATTTAAAATTTATTTTCTGAACGAGATATATTCTCTTAGTCTGAATTTTGTTGCAGAATTCTCTTATCTGACTAACTTTTGTTGCAGGTGGGACTCAGGAACTAATGTTGGAGAATTTGATGGTCATTCAAGAAGAGTTCTAAGTTGTGCATTTAAGCCAACGAGACCATTTCGCATAGTAACATGTGGAGAGGACTTTTTAGTTAATTTTTATGAAGGACCTCCATTTAAGTTCAAGCTATCTCACAGGTTTCTCATCTCTACTAATGTATCGAATCAGAATCAGATATGTCACCTATATACTCGAGATTATATATGTAATTAGATATAGATTCTAAATAATCAATTACATGCCATATCTTTTCTTTGATATTATATATTTATTTAGATATGGATTCTGTATACTAATATTTTTCTTCAGAAATAAGATAATGGTCATATTTCTGATGCATAGATTCTTTTATATTTGGTTTCCATTAGCATTTTTTAATAACTCAGATTTGAATTTCAATGTAAAGATAGAAAACTCTATGTACACTGTTGTACAACTCATCGTCTGAAAAATGCTAACAAACAGTGCTTTTGGAAATAGCCAGCGAAGATTCTATACTGATTGGAACAGATAGCTAAGAAACAAAAATGATCAAATTGGAAATCTTATCTTTCAAAATGACTTCTCAACCCTCCAAAGGCTCTGCAAGTCAGGATATATACTTTCCTTAATTTACTAATAGCATAGCATGGTTGGATGTGATCTATCAATTTTATTTTCTTAATATGGTGATTGCTTTAAAATGTAGTTGTGTCATTATGTTTCTGAAACAGTTTTTACCGGTACTGTTCTTAGCATTGTCATGTTCCCATGTTTCATCACACGATCATCAATGAGTTATTTTTCATGTTTATGTATGCCATTTAAGGAAAACTGGAGGTTGAGGAAAGTAAGATAATTCCAGGAAAATTTCGAATTCAATTCAACTAATTGCAATTGCTAAAATGTGCCATGAGTCCAATTTTCTACACATTATGTAAATCAAGAAGCACTACACATGCTAATGTCATGTAATAGCTTAGATGCATTCTATGTGAACCTTAATTATTCTTAACATTCTTTGTAATTTTGAGAATTTTATCTCACGCTAATTAAATTTTTACCTCCATTTGATTAGATTTTTCTTAAAGATCTAAATTGGACGTATCTCTATATGTTATCTTTTGTTATGTGATGTCATTTCTTACTAATCACCATAATATGCCAATATGTAAAAACATTAATTTAATAATATCCTAATTTTATTAAACTATGCTAGCCAGTTTTAGGGGGATGGTATTTAATTCTAGCGGAACATTTGCATTTAATTTTCAGTATTCTGTTGTGGGCCTAACTACTAAAAAGATTAGCTTTTGGTAATTACATCACTAGGAAATTTTTCCTTTTCAATTCGTGATGAGCCAACTTCGCTCCGATCTCCCCCCTTCCCCATCCCAAACAAGAAATAGGCAAAAAGTAGATCAGTAGAATTCCTTGTGGTTTTATAACAACCAAATATATGCAACATTCAAGAAAAATATACCAAAAATATTGTAGTGGATTTTCCTTTAGGCTGTATAACAATGATATGTGATAAAATGCAATTTTCTCTCTCCTCTTTTTAACCATACATTCTCCAACAAAATAATTTACACTTTAATCCGAAATTTTGCCTTCTTTTTTCAGCATACATTCTTCCAAAAATCACTATTCCAAAATATATTTTCCCCAAAACACATTTTAATGGAGCCTAAACAAGGGCTTATTTATTTAATTATTTTTAATTAATTTGGAAACTGAGCTAATGCTCTTGGATAATTGGTTTTGGTTTGGGCTGAGGTGATGTGAAACAAATTTTATATTTTTCTTTAAAATAAAAGGATAAACGAGCTGGCCTGGTCCGGTCCAGGGCCGCTCTAAAACCGTCCTATTTGGGGCGGGACACCACGGCGCTCGGTTTTTCAGGTAAAATTGCCATCCCTAAATTAAGCTCTGCATTGAATGCATAACAAGAAGTTGAGTAATTTGTTCGGTGTCAAAATGCATATTATCCTCCAACTATACACTCATATCAACTCATCTTTTTGATTATCAAACCTAATAAGTATAAACTTGATTTTAGGTGCTCACGGTGTCTGCTGACAAGTCTGCCAAAATATGGGAGATATCTGAGGATGGTAATGGAAAGGCGAAGAAAACATTAACTTGTCCTGGTTCTGGTGGAGTTGATGACATGTTGGTTGGTTGTCTCTGGCAAAATGACTATCTCGTCACTGTTTCTCTTGGTGGCACTATTTTTTTATACTCAGCAAATGATGTTGACAAAGAGCCACTGGTATTGTCTGGACATATGAAGAATATTAATTCATTAGCCGTGCTGACAAGTGATCCAAAAATTATATTAACAAGCAGTTATGATGGATTAATAGTCAAATGGATTCAAGGTATTGGATATTGTGGAAGGTTAGAGAGGAAGGTGAACTCTCAAATTAAATGTTTTGCAGCTGTTGAACAAGAAATTGTTTCATCTGGATTTGACAATAAGGTTAGCAATTAATGCAGAAGTGGTTATATATTTCAATTTGCATTTTGTTTGGCCTTTCTTTCCTTACTTCTTCAGCAATTACTTTGCACAGTATGATTAGAGATTACTTCCCATGCTCATGAATCTCATAAGGATTGCTATTAATTCTAAATAATCATACGAAAGAGGTCGAGAGGTTTTCTTAACAATGGTGATAGATCCCCTTTCAAATGCTAAGTGATGGGGAATCTCATGTCTTTATGGCTTACTAAGATTTATTAAAGCCATGTGTTATTAAATATTTTTGCCCATTTGAATGGGAGCAGAGTATATGCTATTGGCAAGTCATTTAAAGCTTCACATTCTTTAGTTGCCTCTTTAAGCTTTTTTTCTTCCTTCCATTTGTAATGGTTGTTCCTTTGAATAGTGATGTCCAGTAAGAGAAATAGAATTTATACTACAAGAATTTTATCTCACGCTAATTAAATTTTTACCTCCATTTGATTAGATTTTTCTTAAAGATCTAAATTGGACGTATCTCTATATGTTATCTTTTGTTATGTGATGTCATTTCTTACTAATCACCATAATATGCCAATATGTAAAAACATTAATTTAATAATATCCTAATTTTATTAAACTATGCTAGCCAGTTTTAGGGGGATGGTATTTAATTCTAGCGGAACATTTGCATTTAATTTTCAGTATTCTGTTGTGGGCCTAACTACTAAAAAGATTAGCTTTTGGTAATTACATCACTAGGAAATTTTTCCTTTTCAATTCGTGATGAGGGAAAATAAATAAAATGATTTGCAATTTTTCTTATTAATTGTAATTCCCTTTATCTGTTTCATGACAACACTTTGAGTTTTATAGTAAAAGATATTCTAATTGATTATGCTTTCTATTTACACGTTTTTGTATTTTCGGAAATTTACTGATACATTTACCTGCAGGGACCATTTGAATTTCGTGAATTGTGTTAGGTTTTCTCCAGATGGCAGCAAATTTATTACTGTTGGCTCTGACAAAAAGGGTTTAATATATGATGCGAAGACTGGAGAAAAAATTGGAGAACTATCTTCTGAGGATGGCCACAAAGGCAGCATATATGCTGTTAGTTGGAGTTCTGATAGTAAACAGGTATGGCCAAGAATTAATTCTTGTGGAATGATTGATTCTGCAGACACTGTTAATCTATTTGTCTGTTTGTCCTTCTTAACATTGCCAACTTCGCTCCGATCTCCCCCCTTCCCCATCCCAAACAAGAAATAGGCAAAAAGTAGATCAGTAGAATTCCTTGTGGTTTTATAACAACCAAATATATGCAACATTCAAGAATAATATACCAAAAATATTGTAGTGGATTTTCCTTTAGGCTGTATAACAATGATATGTGATAAAATGCAATTTTCTCTCTCCTCTTTTTAACCATACATTCTCCAACAAAATAATTTACACTTTAATCCGAAATTTTGCCTTCTTTTTTCAGCATACATTCTTCCAAAAATCACTATTCCAAAATATATTTTCCCCAAAACACATTTTAATGGAGCCTAAACAAGGGCTTATTTATTTAATTATTTTTAATTAATTTGGAAACTGAGCTAATGCTCTTGGATAATTGGTTTTGGTTTGGGCTGAGGTGATGTGAAACAAATTTTATATTTTTCTTTAAAATAAAAGGATAAACGAGCTGGCCTGGTCCGGTCCAGGGCCGCTCTAAAACCGTCCTATTTGGGGCGGGACACCACGGCGCTCGGTTTTTCAGGTAAAATTGCCATCCCTAAATTAAGCTCTGCATTGAATGCATAACAAGAAGTTGAGTAATTTGTTCGGTGTCAAAATGCATATTATCCTCCAACTATACACTCATATCAACTCATCTTTTTGATTATCAAACCTAATAAGTATAAACTTGATTTTAGGTGCTCACGGTGTCTGCTGACAAGTCTGCCAAAATATGGGAGATATCTGAGGATGGTAATGGAAAGGCGAAGAAAACATTAACTTGTCCTGGTTCTGGTGGAGTTGATGACATGTTGGTTGGTTGTCTCTGGCAAAATGACTATCTCGTCACTGTTTCTCTTGGTGGCACTATTTTTTTATACTCAGCAAATGATGTTGACAAAGAGCCACTGGTATTGTCTGGACATATGAAGAATATTAATTCATTAGCCGTGCTGACAAGTGATCCAAAAATTATATTAACAAGCAGTTATGATGGATTAATAGTCAAATGGATTCAAGGTATTGGATATTGTGGAAGGTTAGAGAGGAAGGTGAACTCTCAAATTAAATGTTTTGCAGCTGTTGAACAAGAAATTGTTTCATCTGGATTTGACAATAAGGTTAGCAATTAATGCAGAAGTGGTTATATATTTCAATTTGCATTTTGTTTGGCCTTTCTTTCCTTACTTCTTCAGCAATTACTTTGCACAGTATGATTAGAGATTACTTCCCATGCTCATGAATCTCATAAGGATTGCTATTAATTCTAAATAATCATACGAAAGAGGTCGAGAGGTTTTCTTAACAATGGTGATAGATCCCCTTTCAAATGCTAAGTGATGGGGAATCTCATGTCTTTATGGCTTACTAAGATTTATTAAAGCCATGTGTTATTAAATATTTTTGCCCATTTGAATGGGAGCAGAGTATATGCTATTGGCAAGTCATTTAAAGCTTCACATTCTTTAGTTGCCTCTTTAAGCTTTTTTTCTTCCTTCCATTTGTAATGGTTGTTCCTTTGAATAGTGATGTCCAGTAAGAGAAATAGAATTTATACTACAAACATTGTAAAGCGAAAAAATTTGGCCTCGTGTTCTAATATTTTTATTTCTTTGGCTAAGATTTGGAGAGTTTCTCTACATGGAGACCAGTGTGGCAATGCAGATTGCATTGATATTGGCAGTCAACCGAAGGATTTGAACCTCGCCATTCTTTCCCCTGATCTTGCCTTGGTGTCAATTGAAACTGGAGTTGTCCTCCTGCACGGTGCAAAAGTCTTGTCTACCACTGATCTTGGATTCCCTGTAACAGCATGTACCATTGCACCTGATGGAACAGAGGCAATTGTGGGCGGTCAAGATGGGAAGTTGCATGTATATTCCATCACAGGTGATACTCTGAAAGAAGAGGCAGTACTTGAAAAACATCGGGGGGCAATCACTTTCATCCGCTACTCTCCAGATGTTTCCATGTTTGCATCAGCAGATGCTAATCGAGAAGCTGTTGTCTGGGACCGTATTTCCCGTGAGGTATTGAATCGTCATCCTTACTATTTGTTGACATTTTTTTTTACCAAGTATTACTTATTATAAGGAGAAACACTTGCTAATATTGTCTGATGTCTTGGTAGTAAAGCCGGGCAAAGTTATTGAATTTGGAAGTGTTGAGTTGCTTCATATTGCTGAAGTGAGCATCAATAATAACTGTGACCAAATTGAACTTTCAATTTGTTTTCGTAGCTTGTGTTTGCATATTTATTCATCAATGAATTTCCTATCTTCATTTCATTTCTTTTGGAGTAGAATTAATGTATTCCTATAGGAGATATTGGGTCCATGGCACAAAATAATGCTTGATAATCATCCTAATGGAAGTTGTTATATGAAAAAGTCTGTATTGGGTTCCCTGTACTGAAATTGTTGAATGACCCCAGAGAGAATTCTGCTATGCCAATTGAAAGGAGCGTATTTGTCTGGAAAAGTGTGGGAAGTGTGAATATGTGACAGATGACAGATATAGGTTAATTAAAAGTTTATCCGTATGTAGGATAGTTTGTTACTTCACTTGATAGGGAAAAAAAATGGGAAAAGAAATTGTATTCTGATCCTCTTACATTTAGATAGCTCTCAGACCTTTTCTTCTCTTTTTCTCTATTTATGCTATTGTTCTTTCCACATGACTGTAGCATAATTCCTAAGTAACTTGAAAGATTTCCTTGTCGATTGGATAATAGAAGGTTTTATCTATCCATTTTTTTTTGTCTCTCTCTCTCTTTTTTTTTTTTTTCTCCTTTCTCTTCTAACGTGTTTTCTATCTAATTCTTTGCTTTTATGTTCGGCAGGTAAAGCTTAACAATATGTTATACCATACGGCAAGAATAAACTGCTTGGCTTGGTCACCTGCTAACAACATGGTAGCCACGGGATCACTTGACACTTGTGTTATTATATATGAAATAAACAAGCCAGCATCAAGTCGAATAACTATCAAGGGAGCTCATTTGGGTGGAGTTTATGGATTGGAATTTACTGATGAATACAGTGTGGTGAGTTCAGGTGAGGATGCTTTTGTCCGTTTATGGAGAATAACACCACAATAATGCACAAGGTTTGTACCATTGGCTTATTTGCATTATTTGCATTTGGCTTCCTTCAAGTTGGAAAAGAGAGGAATATTCATAGCTCAAAAATTTGGTTGTCCTGAGGTCTTGACAATTTTATTAGGAGACTCGTGTTTTGCCATCCTTCGATAGTTTGCTAAAGGTCAGACATCAATGCAACACAAAACGTACACATCAGAGTTTGCTTGAAGATGATCGTTGTTGTGTGCGAATCTCTCTTGTTCTGCTGATTTGCTGCATGGTACGTGTTAAGATATTATCTTAGCACATGATTTGTCTAGCTTTTTTTGTTTTGTTTTAGATTTCGGATGTTTGTGTGCTGAACTTTGTGCTTATTCTTGTTTATGCTCCAGTGTCGGTTCGATTTTGTTTCTGTAATATAGTTGTGAGAAGCGTGTAACTCTTATTGTTCTCGAGTTGCTTTGGTTTTATTACAATGACCCTAAGCAATTGGCAAGTTCAGTTGCATATTTTCATGGAATTTCACTACCCTTGTAACTATTTGATCGACTTATCATTCAAGGTTTTTTGAGATTAAGGGTTTTGAAAGACCGGTTTACCTTGCAACTTAGCTATTCATCATCACTGGTGTCAAGCACAAGTTTATGTGACAATTGTACGACATTAAATGATAGATTCACTTAAATATATTGTCATGATTCAGTTAATTCAATCTATCGGTTGTGATCACCACACCACTGTTGGTGCTAGACGACATTAATCATATTATGTTGATCATAATTTATGGATTCATTTTACCTTAAGAATCATACTGTCCAATACAATAATGTTATTTGCCACATTGGATTTATTTCCATGTGATGCGAAAGGTGTCGTGGATAAAATGATGAGACCAATTAAATTTGTGGATATGAAATTCACTTTATTGATCATATAATTTAATGTCATATCACATTAAATGATTCTTAATCGATACCCCATAAATAATTTTATATTTGTTTGTTTATCTTACTATAGAAGAGTTGTGAATATTTTAATCGGTTACAATAAAAATTAAAATGAAGTTGTTGATAATAGATTATCGTAATATCGAAATGGTGGTGGAATCATTATGATTGTTACCTAGAGATGGAAAAAAAAAAATCCGCCCTGCCCTCTTGGACTCGAATGGAGCCAAAAAAAAACCTGTTTCGACGGTTTGGCGGGGTGGGACTCCTGCCCGTGGAGAAGAAAAAAAATTGTTAGTTTGACAGGGGCGTTCTCAACTAAAATTTGTTTATCTTACTATAGAAGAGTTGTGAATATTTTAATCGGTTACAATAAAAATTGAAATGAAGTTGTTGATAATAGATTATCGTAATATCGAAATGGTGGTGGAATCATTATGATTGTTACCTAGAGATGGAAAAAAAAAAATCCGCCCTGCCCTCTTGGACTCGAATGGAGCCAAAAAAAAACTTGTTTCGACGGTTTGGCGGGGTGGGACTCCTGCCCGTGGAGAAGAAAAAAAATTGTTAGTTTGACAGGGGCGTTCTCAACTAAAATTTTAATAAATTTTAAATGATTATAAATTCTAATGAATTTGGTGGATTTAAATGGATTCTTACAAATTTCATAAAAATCTCATCAAATACGGTGAAATTTCAAAAGATTTACTTATATCTATTTTTAAGCTTGAAATCCATCCAAATCTTTTAAAATCCTTTTATTAATAAAATCTTTATAAATCCACTAATTATTGAGGATACCTAAATTTTAAAGGATTTTATTAAAATTTCAATTGGGTTATTAAAATTTCAATTGGGGACACCTAAATTTTAATGAATTTAAAAATCCAATAAAATCTCAATTGAAGGTACCTAAATTTAGAATGACTTTTAAAATCCATTGCAATCTCAATTGAGGACATCCCCTGAATATTATTTGTTTTGGATTTTAAAATTTTGAATTTGTATTTTATTCTCTAAAAGTAGAATAACTCAAAATTTTGAAGATGTAAATAAATAAATACAAATTGGGCAAGCCCCTGCCTTAGACGAGACGGGGCGCAGGACAATTGGGTGTCCCACCCCAAACCCGACTCATTGCCATCCCTATCGTTAGCCACACATTTTACACTTTACATATCTCAAATTAACATTACATAGAAAGTATAATTTTCTTTGGAAGAGATCAATTTATTTAGTACGATGAATTTTTTAGGTTATTAACATTATGTGGTTTTAGTGGAACGAACAACATAAATACCAATACATGAAATGACTCAAGATTGTTTGTTTGTCTTACACCATTATGAGAGCTTTCAATATTTAGAATCACTTCTCATTTCAAAAGTACTTTTAGAGAAAGTCACATTAAACCAATTTTTTCTAAAAAAATTTTTAACCACCAAAAGCACTTTAACAAAACTAGTCAAACGAGTCCAAAAGTAGTTTTTAGATTTCAAAATCTCATTTTGACTTTTCAAAAGCTATACCGAATGGGCCCTTAGTAATTGTAAACAAACACATAATTTTCAAATATAAATTAGAACATACTGAAGAAGTCAGTTGTTTATCTAAAGCCGAACTCGTAGGGCTAGAACTCTCGGGTTGTGAGAAGCTAGCCCAATTGACACGCGGGTGAATATTCAATCGGAAAAAATCATAAGTAAGAGTTTAACTATAATTCATTTTAAAATTGAGACAAAAGGTTTAAAACTTCAAAAATAAGATATTTCTTAAATTTTATTTCTAAAATAACTAATTAAAAATATATTTTATAAATTGAATATAAGGTCACAATTCTATACAATTTGATCACAAATTATCGAATTAATTTCTCATAAATAATCTATTGGTTACAATTAAGAATTCTATAGGTCACAAATTATTTCACGGTCACAAATTTATTAAATTAATAGGTCACATATTATTCCTTAATCACAATTTATAAATCACAACTTATTTCATCATCACAAAATATCAAATTAATTGGCCACAAATTATGTTTAAGTCACAAATTAACAAATTTTTAGGTTACACATTATTTATTAGCCAATTTATCTATTTCATTGGTTTCATATTGTTTATTGGACACACATTAATTAGTTTATTGATCACAAATAATCAAATCATTTGTGACTGCTACCTCACCATTGTCACCAACCACATTGCTGCCAGAACCACTACCACCATCACCTAATAGTAAAACCATCATTTCAAACACCGCAACCAAACATCACTACTAGCTTACCACTCCACAACCCCAACTCTCTACCAAAAAAATCCCAAATCTGCCACAAGGCACTACCACCACCGCTTGTATCAACAATAATCACCATAATCGCCGTCATCATTGCATCAACCACAAGCATCACTACACACAGCCTATCACAACAACTACTTAGTTTTGAACGAGCATTTGAATTGTAATTGGTGTTTCAGTTTTGAATATCTTTTTTGCTTATGTAACGATACAAATTTTTATCTTTGAAATCATTATAATTGTACCATAAAAAGAATACTTTCATAAGCAAAGTGAAACATAATATTTTCTGAACTTGTGAGGATTTAAAATTAGTTTAAAAAAAATACAATGAACATTATTGAAATCTTTACTTAAGTTATTCTTCATTTTTCACCCACACAAGCACCCCCGATCGTCTCGAACTTTTTAGTTACTTATAAAATATTTAACATATAGATGTGAGACATAAATCTCAATAAATGAATAATAACGAATTGCATCTCATATTTAAATATAGAAAATCATAACATACATATGGAGACACGGGAATTAAAATTCGAACTTCATGATTATAATTTCCGTGCGTAGAGCTACTAAACTTCGGTTTTTTGAACTTACACATATAAGATCCTAATCATAATCATAACTTAGATTTTCGTATTATCATATTCATAATATAAACTTTTATAATTTAAATGATGAAAGAACAATTCATACTACTACATTTATAGTCGTATGGAAGAAGATAAATGTAAATCGAAGAACTTGCTTTATTAGACTTTCACTCCAAAATTCCTTGGACACCATGAGTGCTAAACTTTGTAATGCGAAAATATGTATGTAGAAGATGATTTGAGAGAAAGAGAGATATAAAGTAAAACATAAATTGTGAGGGGGTTATAAATAGAGGTTTATAAGGTGTGACCCCTCTACCTATTTTTGGTACTAGCATTCATTTCTTTATTAATGATACACATTTTTCCATATAAAAATGTAATAAATCCTCAACTAATTATCCAATTAAATATATATAATTGCAACTAATAATATAATTAAAACAATTGATTTAGTTATACCAAATTAAATATTCTATCATGCCAAAAAAAATGTGAGATTGCTAATTACACATGCATATGTTTCGAATTTTCAATAGATGAAAGTTTCTTTAATTATAATAATTAACCAATTAATTAGATTAATTGACATGCAATATTTATATCAAATCATGCAATCGCATTTAATCAAAGTAGAAATTAAGTTACCTTCCATAATCTAAATACGGCAATCCCATAATCATTTCCTTAACTAAACATGACAATTCCATGATCATTTCTTTACCATAATTTGAAATTCAAAAGTGTATATTGGGTCTTTCAACTATGAAAAGTCATCAATTTGGTCTCCTAACTCTCAAAATCTCACACTAAGATGTCAAATTCAAGATTAACGACTATTAAGACTTTTCGGGGTGCTATAACTTAATTTAAGATGCTTGATAGTATGTCATTCTTAAATCTCCTAGTATCACCATGTTTCAAATTGGGATTATTAGGATTTCTGGTTTCAACAGCTGAAAATGGCTATTGATGGAAATTCTATGAACTCAGATAGCTAACTCGTTCTTCACAACCTATGCCAATGTTGGCCACTAACTAAATTAGGATCTACTTGGTAGGACTTCTTTTCTGCTTCTTTTGTTACAAGAGATTCATGATAAAGCCTCATTGGGTCAAGCTTCCTCCGGAAGCTCTTTCAACTAGAAGTTGCACTTTCAGGATATTATTCAAACAGATTTAAAAGCACGTTCTTAATCTCACAAGAAGCAACTTTTGTCTAATTCTTAGTCTGCCTTGTTTGAGTAGCACAAGACTGCCTCTTTGGTGCATGTGGTGTACCCACTGTTCCATGGTTCAATTAATGAATGGACCTAATATTGATGCATCTAAGTAGAGGTGTACTGTGATATGAAATACATCTATTGCTTTATCTGTAATATATTAAATATTATATCAAGTGAGAATCATTTTTTAGAATATTTTAGCCCTACAGCAATTCAATTATTTCAATTATATCTTACTTTTCATTTTTTTAATATAAATTTAACATTTAATTATGCGTTTCAATATTACGTGCAATTAACATTTATTTTTAGGAACTTGCATTTCTCTCATATTTTATATCGAAAGGGTGCATTAATGCTTTAAATTCATGTACACTTGGCTATACAATTACTCTAGGTGTATATAAATTATCCATGTTTATGTACATTTATTTATTTCAAGATTATTCATTTAATCTATGATATAAATTTATAGATTATTCATTTAATCTATGATATAAATTTATTCTCTGGGTTCACA